ATGTTTGTGGATGGTTGGCAAACGATGATTATAAACATGTTTTGCAATTTGAAACTGTGGATGCTCTTCGTGCAGCAGTTTATGCATCCTGGGCGACCATCTTATGCACCCTCATGCAGAAGTTCATAATGAATATACCAAAGCCGATTTTCAATGTAATTCGCAAAAATGGTGTATATACTAAGAATTAAATTGTCGTTGTGACTTATTTGTGCTGTATTTACTATTTTTATTTACGTGGTCTTATCTTTATGACCAACTCCCAAAAATCCATTTTTTCAATGTTTGTTTAAATTAATCAGTTAAAAGCTTAAAATGTTTACTTGTTTGTTGATAAACTACATTTTCTAATTAATTGTAAATGTTTGGCAAATATATTTTATTAAAGTAACAGTATTTTATATTTTTTAAAAACCCTTTTGTATCTGGTCTTAAGATTTTGATCAGGAGTGAATGTATATATAAGAATGATTGGCGGAAAACATTTTATGCCAAGGCGTTTTGTAGAAATTCTATTCAGTAATTTGTATTTATACACGGAAGTAAAAGTTAAATTTTGAATTAGTGAACACTATATATTATTATAAAAAAATTTATAAAATTAGTGAACACTATAAATTATTATAAAACCTTACTTGGCGTGGAAAATCAAAATATGGAGGACCTAATGTTAAGATCTACTAAATGAACGGAATTACATACATACATACATATATATATATATATATATATATATATATATATATATAAGCTGTATAATGTATTAAATACGCAAGTAGTTTCGACTGTATATTTAGTCATCTTCAGATATGGAAATTATTTTGATTTTGGTAAAATTCAGGTAGCATCCGAGACGAAAAAATATAATGCGAATCGAAATATGTTTTTAAATGTGTTATTGATAACGGATAGAAATTTATGGAGCGTGCCGTCGCAACGCTAAGGTTGGATTTTTTTTTTAAATTTAAGTAAGTGTTTTATTTTACTAATATGCCAATTTTAGAATTTTTTGTTTGTTAGAGTTTATCAGTTA